TTCTGACTTACTGTGTATGGGATTTTATTACAAAATCACCGCCATTAAATTTTAACAAGAGGGCCAAGATGGCCCTAGATCGCTCACTTAACATAACGAACTCATCCGAGGAGCATTTATTTAGACAAACATTCTGACAAAGTTTGATGACAAATGAGTCAAACGTGTGACTTCTAGATTGTTAACAAGGTTTTTCAATATTCGGACAGTGTGACCTAGTTTTTGACCCCTCGTGACCCATATTCGAATTTGACCTAGAAATCATCATAACAAACTTGCAGAGCAATTTGGATCAAAACAGTAGCCACTAGTGTGTTAACAATATTTTTTTTTACTTTTACCTCCTTTGACCTAGTTATTGGTCTGAGATGAACCATATTCTAACTTGACCCAGAAATCGTCCAAACCACCTTCCTGGTCAATTTCAAGAATATTTGAATCAAAATGCAGCAGCTAGAGTGTTAACAAGATTTTTCTATGTTTTGTTCCTGTGACCTAGTTTTTGACTGGATATGACCCATATTCGAATTTGCCGCATATATTATCAAATTAGCCTTCCCAATCAATTTCTAGGATATTCGGTTAAAAATTGCAGCAACTGGAGAGTTTACAAGATTTGTTTGATTTTTTGCTCATGTGACCTAGTTTCTTTTACTTGAGATGACTCATATTCGAACTTGACCTAGAAACCATCAAAACAATATTCCAGACTAATTTCCAGTTTATTATGCCCCCGCCATGTAATGGCCGGGGCATATAGTGTTACCCTGTTCCGTCCTTCCGTCATTCCGTCATTCTGTTATTCCGTCATCTTCAGTTTCCGTTCAATATCTTAGTAACGGTTGCACACATTCAACTCAAATTTGACATATGGATATGTCATAAGATAATACAGGTCAAGGTCGAATTTAGTCATGGTTTGATGATTTTTGGCAGAGTTATGCCCCTTTTACTTTAAAATAATATGAAATTTTCAGTTTCCGTTCATTATCTCCCCAACGGTACAACACATTCAACTCAAACTTGACATATGGATATGTCATGAGAAAATACAGGTCAAGTTCGAATTTGGTCATGGTTCGATGATTTTTGGCAGAGTTATGTCCCTTTCACTTTGAAAATAATATGAAATTTTCAGTTTTCGTTCATTATTTCCCCAACGGTACAACACATTCAACTCAAACTTAACATATGGATACGTCAAAGGAATGCGCAGTTCAAGTTCAAATTTTGTCATGGTTCAATGATTTTTGGCAGAGTTATGCCCCTTTCACTTTGAAAATAATATGAAATTTTCAGTTTCCGTTCATTATCTCCCAAACTGTACAACACATTCAACTCAAATTTGACATATGGATATGTCGTGAGAAAATACAGGTCAAGTTTGAATTTAGTCATGGTTCGATGATTTTTGGCAGAGTTATGCCCCTTTCACTTTGAAAATAATATGAAATTTTCAGTTTCTGTTTATTATCTCCCCAACGGTACAACACATTCAACTCAAATTTGACATATCGATACGTCAAAGAAATGCGCAGGTCAAGTTCAAATTTGATCATGGTTCAATGATTTTTGGCAGAGTAATGCCCCTTTCACTTTGAAAATAATATGAAATTTTCAGTTTCTGTTTATTATCTCCCAAACAGTACAACACATTCAACTCAAATTTGACATATGGATATGTTTTTGAAATGCCCAGGCCAAGTTCGAATTTGGTCATGATTCAATGATTTTTGGCAGAGTAATGCCCCTTTCACTTTGAAAATAATATGAAATTTACAGTTTCTGTTCATTGTCAGTGTTACATATTCAACTCAAATTTGACATATGGATATGTCAAAGGAATGGGCATGACCAAGTTGGAATTCGGTCATGGTTTGATGATTTTTTTTGGCAGAGTTATGTCCCATTCACTTTGAAAATAATATAGATACATCTTAGGAATAAGCAGTTTAAGTTTGAATTTGGTCGTGGTTCAATGATTTTGGACAAACTTATCTTTCTTGAATGTTGGAAAAATTTTGAACTTTCAGTTTCAGCACTCATACTTTTGTGGAAATGTATGTAGCCATTATGAAATATGCTATTTTCAAAAGGTTAAGACTGAATAATTTCAGTGCCTTGAACATTGTATGAAAATGGTTTGTGTTAACATTGAAAAGTTTTAAGGGCTTTGAACTTAAAATGAAAAAAATAATTTGTACAAACAAATTTGGAACTAAATATTATAACATCTGAAATTTTGGCTGCATGCGGGGGCATCCGTGGCATGATGACACATTTCTAGTTTGGATTAAAACTGCAGTCGCTAGAGTGTAAAGAAGTTTTTTCTATTTTGAGTTCATGTGACCTAGTTTTTGACCGAAGATGACCCATATTCGAACTTGATCCAGAAATCAGAAACCAACCTTCCTCATCAATTACAAGAATGTTTGGATCAAACCTGCAGCCACAAAAGTGTTAACAAGATTTGTCTATTTTTCCTCCTTTGACCTTATTTTTGACCCGAGACGACCAATATTCAAACTTGGCCTACAAGTTATCAAATAACTTTTCTCACCAATTTCCAGAATATTGGGATCAAAACTGCAGCCACTAGTGTGTTAACAAGATTTTTCTATGTTTTGCTCCAGTGACCAAGTTTTGACCAAAGAACTTGAACCAAAGAACCTGGTCAATTTCCAGGATATTTTGAAAATAACTGCAGCCACTAGTGTTTACAAGATTTTCTATTTTTAGCTGCTGAGACCTATTGTTTAGCAGGAGATGACCCATATTTGAAATCGACCCAGAAATCATCAAAGCATCCTTCTTGACTAATTTCAAGGATATTTGGATCAAAACTGCAGCCACTAGTGTGTTAACAAGATTTTTCTATGTTTTGCTCCAGTGACCTAGTTTTGACCAAAGAACTTGAACCAAAGAACTTGACCTTCTTGGTCAATTTCCAGGATATTTTGAATATAACTGCAGCCATCAGTGTTTACAAGATTTTCTATTTTTAGTTCCTGTGACCTAGTGTTTAACAGGAGATGACCCATATTTGAAGTCGACCCAGAAATCATCAAAGCATCCTTCTTGACTAATTTCAAGGAAATTTGGATCAAAACTGCAGCCACTAGAGTGTTAACAAGATGTTTCAATTTTTAGCTCCCGTGACCTAGTTTTTTTTACTCGAAACGACCCATATTCGAACATGGCCTACACATCAACAAACAACCTATTTGACCAATTTCCAGAATATTTGTATCAAAACTGCAGTGTTAACAAGATTGTTTTTCTATTTTTAGCTCCTGTGACCTATTTTTGACCGGAGATGGCCCATATTCAAACTTGATCTAGAAATCATCAAAACTACCTTCCTCATCAATATCCAGGATATTTTTATCAAAACTTCAGCCACGAGAGTGTTAACAAGATTTCTTTATTTTTAGCTCCTGTGACCTAGTTTTTGACCCGAGATCACCCTTATTCAAAATTGACCTGTTTTTTATTACGTCAAACATTCTGACAAAGTTTGATGATGATCCAATCAAAACTGTGACTGCTAGAGTGTTATCAACCCAATTGTTCGCGACGAACGTACCACGACAACGGACGTCAGGTGAGCTAAAACCAAAGAAATAATTATTATTAAATAAAAATACTTTGTGTGATTAATTTGCAGTTCTCATGACTTGCGTATCTTATGACCCTAATATGAAATCAACAAGTCAATTTGAAACCGTAATCGGAACTTGCATATCGCATGGTACTTGCAAATCTCATACGACCCCGGGACCAGTTGACTGCCAGAACTAAAACAGAGCTGCCGGTATTTTGACAAAACTTCTTAAGAGTGATCAATACTAACAATAATTGTGCATATCGGCTGAATATTTTGCTAATTTGCATAAAATGGCCATCAGAGCTATAAAAAAGAAGGAAAAATAGAAGAAATCTTGCCTGGCTTTCACATGTTAAAATAGAGAGAAATAAGAATCCCTAAAGAGAGCCCAACACGGCAAAATTGAACATGTTGCAGGCTCGGGTTTGTTTGAGCCTGTTCATGGACTAAACAGAGGTTAAATCTCTGGTGGAATTTACATGCCGAGAGTACAAAAGTTTGAGAGAGACAAAAAACCCGTCTAGTTTAATTGTGTAATGATGTGGTTAGATATTTAACATAGTATATTTGTCAATGACATTTGATTGCTATAATATCGATGTACACATTCATGTTAAGCAAAATATCATAGCTAAATGTCCTGAGTTTTGTATATGATATCTGACACTTAAAAAATCCTTTTATTATAAATAAGTTTTACCATTATCTTAACCCCCGTCAGTGTACAACATCAAAGAACCTACATATTTTCTGCGATATGTGTATATATTTTTTAAAATATAGGTACCAGAAATTATAGCATCAAATATTTCTATACATTTAAAAATTCGATCACCGATTTATCTTTAAATCAGGAATAGAACGGCTGCCATGAACAATGATGTTTAAACTTTGAAAATATTTTAAAAAGACATCTATTTTCAAAAGTTTTAAAAACTACTTTGACGTAAACAAAATAATACAAAGGCAGCTAAATACTAGTAGATATAATTTCAAGTATACCACTCGATTTAAAGTTTTCTTTATATTACCATTATTAGAATAATAGTTTTTCTTCCTTTTCCGTAATATTCAATATACAAAAAAAATATTGTACATTGAACTTCACAGGATTCACAACAGACGAAATTTGATATTACTCATCACCATTAAACAAAACGTAGTAGTTGTTAAATACAGACCTATCAGTTACGGTTGGGTATTTAAGTATACCACAAAACTCAAACATATATCGTGCGGTCTCTTATAAAAATACTACCGTATAATAAGTATGAAATTTACCAGGTGAATCGGAAAATAAATGCGTATACCTTATTGATTTCAACTAAAAGCGTACATTTACTATTTATTATTTATGTTGATGATGCTTGATTATTACATTTGGTCATTTCAGGCAGAAATTTAGCGTTTAAACGTAAAGCCTCTCAAGTATCGATACATAAAACCTGTCCGCTTAATGCATGTAAAGCCGAAAATGCTGTTGACGGGATAAATAATGAACAGGTTTGGTCGAAATGCAGTTACAGCTCTGATGTAGAAAATGCTTGGTGGGATGTAGATCTTGGTACTGAAGCGATAATTCATAACATTCAAATTGTGGCTGTTAAAGGTATCATAATTGAGTTATGTTTTTTTTCTTTCATATTCTGCCAAAGCATTTCATATTTAAAATGGTTAACCTCAATAAGCTATTTGTTTACGGAAACTAATGTCATTTCATCCATAACTATTTTATAACAATAGCGTATAAATTTACTGGTTTAATAACAACGGCAAAACAACGTCATCCTAAGCACATAGTTCCCTTCTAATATGACGTCATTTTTACGCTGTTTATTCATAAAATGCGCTAAAATGACGTACATGTATGGCATGCGACCTCTCTGGCAATCCCCCCCACCCTCCAATCCAAATAAAATTTCCGGCATGGTGGAAACTCACGAAACGTCAGTCTGCTATCTTAAATGATGATCAATGTTTCCGCTCTGGCTTTCGTTTAATGTTTAGCGTTTATGTGTATTAGAGCTTGATCGCATATGAATGGTTCTTTAATAAAATAAACGTCCATAGTAACGTCGCATTATCTTCACAGTATTAAGATTCTTTCGTTTGAATTATGCATGAAAAGTTTAACGAAGTAAGACACATTGTATCTAGCCATCGCAACAATAATTACTAAAATTTCTGTTCGGGGATTCGTTTAACATTCCATTGAAATGTTCTTATGTAACTGTGTGTTGTTATTACAGATGCAAAAAGCAAGTATCAAATTGAAATAAAAAGCAATACAGGTGTTAATAATTTCCATCGTGCGGTAACTGCAGCAGCAAATGTAGACATAAATATAAATGTGATTGGCAGAGTTGTTCACTTGGTGAGGGAAATGAATAGACGGATACAGCTATGCGAAGTTTATGTCTATGGGGGTAATATAACTAAACAGATTCGTAATCTCATATTGTTAAAGACAATTAATTTAATATGAATCTCATTGATTTGTATTAACGCTCAGAGTTCCACATAATGTCACATAAAGATATGTATCTTTTTTTAACGTTAACTTAAACATTGAATTAAGTATTAAATTGGTTGTACTCTTTTATTGAATATACATGTTTAAGTCATTACATCTTAAAATGATAAACGATATAATGGTTTGCTAACATTCCTATTATTTGGCATTGTTACCTACTTTAGATTGTCAGGAGAATATGTGCGGATACGATTGTAAGAAACCTTGTCATTGTCGAGATGCAACAATATGGGACAAACTATCAGGAAATTGTTCCAATGGGTGTAAAGACGAATGGGAAGGTACTCAGTGTAACATACGTACGTTGGCAATGTCTTGTCTTTGTTCATATTGTATTAATTTAGAATAATTTAATAATCAATTTTGTTGAAAATCCTTTATAATGATGGACTGAATACTCCCGCTGAATTCATTATTCAGGTAACTTATATGCCTTTCTGTCGGTAAATATCTCATTATATCTAATGGCTCAATAGTCGATTAATGTTTTACTATTTGAATAGCCAAAAAATTATTCTTTTTTTTTAAAAAAATACAGCCTTATGAAGGCAATTCAAAATACTACTTTTGCTCGTTTTAATTAAGGCGCGGCAATAACGCACCGTATACAAGTTGATGTCAAACGTTCAACGACATCGCAAACGCTGTGCAAACTGCAAACCCTGCGCTGCAATGCATCTTCTAACTATTATAGTAAAGTAATGATATTTTAATCATGAAATATCACATAAAGAACAAAATGCAACATTTATTTTTATACTCAAGCGTAATAAAACAGCCAACGATCTATGGTCATTAAATATGTGTCTCATTCTATTTTAAGATTGGAAACCGTGAATATGATACTTCAACCGGTTAACTACTGTTTTGACCAATGAGAATGTTCTATTTTAATGTTATAAGTTCAATAAGTTCTTTTGAAGAAAGGATCACATTTACTTGACCCTTTAATAGGGAATGCAGCTTCCTATGCATAGTTTGTGCAATGCTTTAATTAAATTAGACATCATACAAATACGGACTTTTTAGTCGGTGAATATTATGTGATATCTACTGAAAAAAATTAATATTGACCGAGCGATAGCTAAAAAGTACATATCTGTTCAATTATATAATTTTTGAATATTTTTATACTTTTATATGGCTTATCAAATCTGCAATACGACGAAAATCAACATTTTTTTCAGCTTTTCTAGTTTTTCGATAATTTCACCATGTCTTTTAAATGAGCGCATTGGCACGCTAATTCGTATTGTTCTTTAAAATGTTAAAGATCCTGTAACACAATTGTGTCATGGTTTTATTTCATAAATATGATGCTCAAACTAAGATTTGTCAATATTGTAAGTTCAAACAAGCATTATTTATAAAGATATTAACGAATTTAACATTTTATGTAAATAAAGGGAGGTAATTAGAAATTGATGTTCTACAAATTCTAAGTCAAATTTTCCAATAAGAAATGAATGCATGTAATTTAATATGATTAAATATAATGTGCACAAATATTTGCAGTACACATTTTACATATTCTTCGATGTTTGAAAATTGTTTTATTTGCATAATTATATATATATATATATATATATATATATATATTATATATATATATATATATATATATATATATATATATATATATATATATATATATATATATATATATATATATATAAGCAATAAACTTATCAATAAAAATGTAGATTAATCACAAAGAACTGGCTGACTTCTACAAGTTAAAAGCACTAGAGACTCAATATCTCTATCGTAAAAACATCAATGTGTGATTAAAATGCATACACACATCTAAAACTGAAAATAAAACAATAAAACAGCAAAGAAATACTTAAATTTTAAATAGAACTCTAGTCTTTATTAATAAAATAGATAATGAAGTGTAATTTTATCTTGATGCTGTCTCTTTGATAGCTTTAACTTCATTAAACATTGATTAATTTGAAAGCATGGAACTTTATGTATTTTTCAGAGACATGAATAATTATAATCAGAACACCTGGACCATATGCTTACGCTTAAAATATTAAAAAAAAGATGCATTTTCCTAAATTATGATACGTTTTGCTTAATTACGATCCATTTGGCATTATATCAAAGAAGAATAACATAACCATAACCTTTATTGAATTTCCATGAAATGCCTGATACAAAAACTCAAAAGATCATAACACAAAAGTTTATCATATTTTCAGTACAATCAAAGTTATTAAAATCTGCATATCTTGAATAGACAAACCCCTATTCTGTGCTTTCAGCACTTTATTGAAATATGTTCTTGGTATTCATAATAAGTTTTGTAATGTCATACTCATAGGAGAGTTAAGACAGTATCTTATATCTATTTTAACACTGTTTATGTGTGTGTGTTTGCATTTGTTTACCCTCGCCATCGGAAAGAAACCATATGGGCCAGCATAACACTGTTTAGTATTTTCAACGGCTAGATATTGCAAATTAGTTCCTTGTTGTTAACTTAAAAAGAGATCAAACAACAATTAGAAATGCAGTTTGATCTTAGATTGTAAAACAAAACTTAACACCTAGATACAAATGTAGTTGATGTCAAATTAAGTAAACTATAGCTTTCACTGCTTGTTTTATTGCAATACATATAAAAACTTTTAGAACAGTATCTTGTTTAATTGATACTGTCTGAGAAATGTACTTTCTGTTTCTCAACTTTTTCGCCACGTTAACTACACTTTATGAGAGACATAAACTCACTGCTGCATGGCAGCATTAAATACAATCGGTGACAATTGAACAGTGGTACCATTACATTATCTTCAGAGGCACTCTGTTTGTACTGTTTGTAACAACAGAATGTGGTACTAAGTAGATAAGAGTGACCGGTGCTTTTGCAGCTTTGGACACTTGTTTAATTGCTCAAATTGCGGTAAAGTACGAATTTCTGATTGGTCAAATTACATCTGCAATAGCAATATAACGGTTATTTTCGTCAGTCTTCGGATAAGCTCTCGGTTCACTCGGTCGGTGATATTGTATAGTCTGATTTTATTGACCTGTCAATTATGAATATATTAAACACGGGGGAGAACTGTTACACAAAGGATGGAGTTCTTATGATAACTTGTCTAGAGTTCTTATGATAACTGTCGCGTAAATTAAATTAAACATCTTACTGCGTACATCTCGGGAATTTACCGAAAATCTTCCGAAGATTCATATATTCTGTGCATTGACTGTATAATCATTATGCAATTGACAGGTTAATAAATCAAACAATACTTATAATTTATACTGTCACTATTTTTCGAATCATGAAATAGTGGAACGCTATTCAGAAAAAAAAACGATAATCGATTTATACAGTTTAAAAGATTAAAAACGGAATGGAACACTGTTCGCAGTGTTAAATGAAACGTAAATGGAATTTTCTGAATATCCTTCCACCGATTTGTTCACATATTTTTATAAGGCTTAAAATACGATTCATTTACTTCAGTTTGATACGTAAAACGGGTTGAATACCTTTAAAATGTAGTGCATCATTGTGACGCTTTATTAAATATATTGTAAACGGACGGAAATTTATTACAACATTCGACTTCCTTAAACGTAATAAAAATATATTTGTGCATGACAAAAACTCTAAAAAATAATATATATTCGAATTTTTGTTTAAAAAGCGTAATGCATATGCATTGATATATACCTACAATAATTATAAAAAGGTTGCAGTGACGGTTACTATGGACAGGGTTGTTCAAAAACATGCAGCGTTAACTGTCTTAAAGAGCAAGGACGTATACTTTGTGATTCTGTCAATGGTAGTTGTATACATAAATGCAATACAGGGTGGAAAGGACAACTTTGTAATCAAGGTAGTACTATTGATTTCGGGTCTTGTTCAGCTATAGGAAGTAAAACACATTATAAACGTTGAAAATATGCGCTGCATACTGAAACATTTAAAGCTTGATTTATCTCCCTTAACTTCAGTCATATAACTGAACAGATCTACGATAAGTTGTGTTAAAAAAAGCAAATGGCCTTAATTAATTATTGTGTTATTGTGTACTCCAATAAATAAGATGAATATAAAAAGGATAGTTAAATATTTGCCAATTTCCTATTTTTTATTTTATTATAAGATACTTTTTTTCAGAAAAGAGATATAAATTGTCATGAGTATTTACAAATAATTTTTATGTCGCCGTTATTGTTTTCTAAGCATTGATTGATTTAATACATTTAAGCGAAATTTCATGCTGTTAAATAGTAAATTTAAACATTCAATTGTATACTAATCTTTGAATCCAGAGTGTGACGCTGGTGAATATGGCAAAAACTGCAAAGGAAACTGTAGCGAACATTGTGCAGAAGGAGCAACAAATTGTAATCGCATGACTGGGTTTTGCCTATCAGGCTGTAAACCGGGATGGAATGGATCACTTTGTGACAAAGGTTAATTCATTTTGTTATTATTCCATAATAAACATGATGTTTATATAAGCAATAAACTAAACAATATAAATGTAGATTGATCACAAAGAACTGGCTGACTTCTACAAGTTATAAGCACCAGAGACTCAATATCTCTATCGTAAAAACATCAATGTGTGATTAAAATGCATACACACATCTAAAACTGAAAAATAAAACAGCAAAGAAATACTTAAATTTTAAATAGAACTCTAGTCTTTATTAATAAAATATAATGAAGTGTCATTTTATCTTGATGCTGTCTCTTTGATAGCTTTTACTTCATCAAACATTGGTTAATTTGAAAACATGGAACGTTATGTATTTTTCAGAGACATGAATAATTATAATCAGAATACCTGGACCATATGCTTACGCTTAAAATATAAAAAAAAAACAGTTTTCCTAAATTATTATACGTTTTGCTTAATTACGATCCATTTGGCATTATAGCAAAGAAGAATAACATAACCATAGCCTTTATTGAAATTTCCATGAAATGCCTAATACAAAAACTCAAAAGATCATAACACAAAAGTTTATCATATTTTCAGTACAACCAAATTAATAAAATGTGCATATCTTGAATAGACATACCCCCATTCTGTGCTTTCAGCACTTTATTGAAATATGTTCTTGGTATTCATAATAAAGGAGAGTTAAGACAGTATCTTATATCTGTTTTAACACTGTTTATGCGTGTGTTTATGTGTTTTAGACCTGTATATTGTTTTATTGATACTGTCTGAGAAATGCACTTTCTGTTTCTCAACTTTTTCGCCACGTTAACTACACTTTTTGAGAAACATAAATACACTGCTGATTGGCAGCTTTAAATACAGTTGGTGACCATTCAGCAGGAGTATTATTTTAGTTATTTTCATAGACACCCTGTTTGTACATTTAACAACAGGATATGGTAGAAAGTAGATAAGAGTGTCCGATTAAAATCACACTGTTAAGCAAAGATAAATAAACTTAAACAATATTATACAATTTTGAGCCCCAAAAAAGGAACATGGGAGAGGTATTTTTGCAGCTGTGGACAGTTTGTTTAATTGCTCAAATGACGGGAAAGTACGAATTTCTGATTGGTCAAATTACATCTGCAGTAGCAACATAACGGTTATTTTTGTCAGTCTTCGGTTCACTTGTTCCAATTATAGTGCTAAGTGATATCGTAGCTATAGTGTGTAGCTTGTTACTTTTTTCGATACATTTTATAGTTAAACGCTATTTTTAAACAATAATCGATTTATACAGGTTAAAAGATTAAAAACGGAATGAACCACTGTTCGTGGTGGTCAATGTCACGTAAATGGTATTTTCTGAATTTTTCTTCAACCGATTTGTTCACAGCAATGTTTTTTGTTGTTGTATTTTTTAGACTGGTTCTAATGCTTTTAGGCTTAGAATACGATGCATTAACTTCAGTTTGATATGCAAAAAGAGTTGGATGCCGTAAAAATATAGTGCATTCATTGTGACGCTAAATTCATTATCGTTATAGGGATTATTACAACCTCCTTATTCCTTAAACGTAACAAAAATACTTTTGCACATGAACAAAAATCTTAAAAATAATATTTTAAGTTTTGTTTGAATAGCGCCATATATTTGCACTAATTTATACCTGTATAAATATATAAAGGTTGCAATGACGGTTACTATGGACAGGATTGTTCAAATCCATGCAGCATTAACTGTCTAAAAGAGCATGGGCGTAAGCTATGTGATTCTGTAGTTGTTTACATACCCGGTAAATGCAATGTAGGGTGGAAAGGACAAATTTGTAATCGGGATGAAACTGTTGATTTCGGGTCTTGTTTAGTAATAGAGGGTAAAATTATGATATGTACTCTATACTGAAACATTTAAAACTTGTTTTATCCCCACTTCGCTACAGTCATATGATTTTACTCACTACGATAAGTTGTGTTGAATAGAGCAAATGACTACGATTATTTTGTTATTGAGTACTCCAATCAAAATATAATGAATTCTAAAAGGATAGTTAATAATAATAGTTCCTATATTTCTTTTTGTACGATAATTATTGCGTGTTTTTTTTTAAAGTCGAATTTATTGAATTCTATTATCAATTCATTTTATCAAATTGTCATGAGTTATTTATAATGAGTAAATTTATTCATTGAATTGTATACTTTTCTTTTGAAACTAGAGTGTGATGCTGGTAAATATGGTAAGAACTGCAAAGAAAAGTGTAGCAAATATTGTAACAATGGAGCAGCAAATTGTAATCGCACGACTGGGTTTTGCCTATTAGGCTGTAAACCGGGGTGGAATGGATCACTTTGTGACAAAGGTTAATACATTTTGTAATAATCAAATAATAAACATGATATTTATATAATAAATAAACTAATCAATATATAAGTAGATAAATCAAAAAGAAATAGCTGACCTCTACAAGAAGCAGGCATTAGTGGCTCAATATCCATATCATAAAAAAATCAATGTGTGAATAAAATGCATACACAGATCTAAAACTAATATTTTAGAAGTGAAACAAAAAACAATAAAATCGCAAAAAAGAAAGTAATTCTATATTAAATAAGACTCTAGTCTATATAAATTAAAAAGATAATGAAGTGTCTTTATATCTTGATGCTGCCTCTTTAATACTTTACTTCATCAGAAATTTATTACGTGCAATGATGGATCGTAATGTATGTATTTCAGAGACCTCATTTTTTAACCCTAAAATATCGTTTAATATTCTGAAGAAACATGTCTTTTTTCCTCAAAGTAACGATACGTTTCCGTTAAATCACGATCTGATCCATTTGGCATTGTACTTTGTACAAAGATACATGTTCTTGTTTTCATGCAAATAGTGTAAATAATGTAAGGGCGGACATTGAAAACTTATTCCTAGACAAACTAAGAAAATGTGTTCCATTTTTACATTGTGTTAATTAATGCTGGCGGCAAACGTGTTAAGCTCGACATTTTTCAAAGAACAAATAGAGGGATTGTTACAGTCATGTCAGCATTGCCGAAGCCGTCCGCGAACTTTAACCGTGATCATAAATTTTTAACTTGTTGGTATTTTGTCTTCTTACTTGGCCAATACAGTGTTTGGACAAGTAGATAACACTAAACTTGACCTTTCTTCATAAATGATCTTGACTTGTAAGGTCTAATGTCTAAATTTTGTTGATTTTTGATGACTTTTTTCTATTTTGTTGTTTTTTTAATGGACTGTTCTCAAACTTAAACACAATACTCTTTAGGATAGACCATTAAGTTAACCGGACAGATTTTGACACCCACTCATAAATGACCTTAACCTTGAAAATGTTGAAATGCTCGTTTTTGCTGTAACTGGCAAAAACTTGTTATAAATGAATTAATTTACTTCATATTAAAATCAGCATTCTTTACGATAAGACCTTCATGTATGTTAAACTCAAATTGACCTCGATTGAAAGTTAAAATTATTGCAATATCTCTGATTTTAATATATTTGACTGTAACTTGGTACTAAGGTAATGGATTATCTTCATACTCAGGTAAAACAACCATTTGGACAAAACCTTCGAAAATATGAACCGACTTTGACCTTCAGCTTTGAATAACCTCAACCCTCCACATCAAATTATTGAATTTTGGTTAGATTATCACAATTTTGTTATTCATGTTTAAACTTGGAAGATGTGTTACCAAACAACCATTAATTAAATATAAATTAAATAATTTAGCATTGACCTTGACTTTAAATTGACCATGACTTCTCTTGGGTTTTTTTCCTGTAACTGGTGATAACTTTGTTATTAATAAATGGATTAATTTCATATTTCTTTAGTTACAACATCTTTAAGTCAGGACATTCACGTTTATCAAACTCAATTTGACTTTGGCTTATATATGACCATGACCTTGAAGTTGAATATTGTGTTTTCAATGATTTTTGCTATATTTGGCTGTAACTTGGTTATTATTCAACGGATTATCTTCATTTTGGACTCAACAACCTTTTCGACGATTCCTTTTGAAAGGTTAACTGATCTTGACTTTGTTTAAATTGAAAAAATAGTTCGTCATAAATATAAAGTTATATGAAAACAATTGTTTACAAGAAGGACTTATGTAAGCTTAATGTGTCAGGTTAGAGATACAGCGTGAAATATATTTTGCTTTCACATTTTATTAAAGGTTTCTCAACAAGGTAAACTGTAATACTATTTATACACAGGAAACATTGTATACCGATATATATTTATTAGTCTGATATATTTATTTAATATCATAACATTACCTTTGCATAATTGCAACTAACTGTTTGAAGATATGTCTTATATTTACCTAATCTAAATTTGGATTGAATTGGAACTTATAAAATATCTCGTTTTCGGCTTTTCTGTTATAGCTTACACGGTCACCTATTTAGGTTCACATTTTCCAATTTTATGGAAAATTCAATAATACAAAAACACTTTAGGGAAAATAATTTCTTGGTAAAATAGAGAAAATAACTTTTTTTGTAGGACATCGAAATCAGTTTGTTTTGCAATGCCTATTTTCAATTGTTGCTTAGAATGTAAAGATGGTTACTACGGTGAAATGTGTATCGAAACATGCAGTGGTCATTGTAACGGTGGAAACAAAAATTGTAGAAATATCGATGGACATTGTTTACTAGGTTGCAAAAATGGATGGAAAGGAACAAATTGTGATTCTGGTATTTATGAAACGTTATACATAAAATATACAATTTAATTTTTTGCCTGTTTTCTTTAATATTAAGACAGCAATTACATTGTTTTATTTTATGTTCTGTTATCTATATTTATTATGAAATGTCGTTGCTTTGCTGTTTTGTCATTATTTACATCATAATCAATAACTAATACTGGTTATTAAGGGTATAAATCAATACTGAAGTGCATACTAATTGATTTGAATGGTATACATATGATAAGCTGTCCATATCATTATAAAAAGAATGTCGAGCTGGGACGTTTGGTAAAGAATGTAAGGAGAACTGGTTTTTAAATTGCATGCAAAATGTTTGTGATCATGTCAACGGCAATTGTAATGAGTGTAAACCTTGTTACCTTGGAAAAAGATATCTTATAACATCAGCACTTGAGTAATGTAAATGAAACTATGTGATCATAATGTAATCATGACACCATCATAATGTAATTATGACATCGCTTGCTGCATGTATTTTGATTTTCAACACATATTGGAAGTCTACTAAATAACACCCTACAACAAGTTGTATGCTCGTGATATTTTTTATTTCTTTTCTTTTTTTTGTATCATACACTTTGTTTTTATACTTTAAAGCTACATAATGTTTGTTATTTAAAGGCCAGTTAACTAGCTTTACTTCGACCGAGTATCTTCTTTTAAAGATACCTCTTGTCTTTAAGTAATTGTCCTTTTAATTATTTTTTTACTTTTGACTTTTCTCCGGAGCATAACTAAAAACTTGAAACTTCATATTTTTTAGACTTCATTGATAACAAATTACCAACATGTTTCATGATTTGGCAGTTATTGCCCTTGTACTTTTTTACTAGCTATTGCGTGGAGTTATTTTTTAGCCACAGCATATTATAGTTAATACGATGAATTTATTACTCTGTGTAACTGTAATTAATGTTTTAATGTTTAATTCAACGTATTTTCTCGATTTATATGTATTTATTTCTTCAAATAAAGCATGTAAAGATTGTTATCTGATTATAAAATGAAAAGTGTTTTGTTGTGTTTTTTTCACATTTTTTGTATTGATTATTTGAACATGTTTTGCAAATTATATTTAGAATGTAATGCTGGTCATTATGGTGATGATTGCACCAATCTATGCAGTGTTCATTGTAAAGAGGGAAGAATATGTAGACATACAGATGGAGAATGTTTGAATGGTTGCCAGGCAGGGTGGAATGGTAAAAAATGTGATTCAAGTAAGTAAACTGAATTACATAATATGTTTTTGTATTGACTATGATAGGCGATCATATTAACATAATGTTAAGGATGGGTTTTTTTGTTCGTTATTTTTTCTTTTTGTTGTTGGTATTGTTTTTTGTTGTTGTTGCTGCTGCTGCTGCTTTTCTTTTCTTTTTTAGGGTCGTTAATATTCGTCGTATGTAGTCCGTTGTCCCTCCACATTAAATTCATTAACACTCTAGAGGCAACATATTTACCTCAGTTGTCATCAAACATAGTCAGGATGTTTGTCCCAGTGTCTCAGACAAATAAGAACATGATAAATATGTTTATGTAGGTAAAGTTTAAATATAGGTCATCTGGGGTCAAAAGCTAGATTACATTGCCCAAATAAGAAAAAAAAAACATTGTTATACTCCAGAGGCTACTGTTTTAGTCTAAATATCCTGGAATTTGTCAGAAAAGTGTTAATATGATTTATAGCTCAAGTTCGAATATGGGTCACCTTAGGTAAAAACTAGGTCACACAGCCCAAATATGGAAAAACCTTAGAGGCTACAGTTTTAACCTGAAAATCGACCGAAAAGTTGTGTAAATTATTTCTAGTTTAAATTGGAATATGGGTCATCTGAGGTAATAGAAACAGTTGGTCACACCGTCAAAATATGGAAAAAAAACCTTAACATAGGCTACTGTTCTAGTCCAAATATCCTGGAAATAGGTCAAAAAGACTCTTTATATTCTAGCTCAAGTTTAAATATGGGTCATTTAGGGTCAAAACCTTGGTTATACAGCCCAAATATGGAAAATATTTTTTCACTCTAGAGGTAATATTTTCAGCACAAATACCATTAGGGTTTGTCAGAAAGGTTGATTTGATAATTTCTAGCTCAAGTTTGAACATGGGTCATTCCGGGCCAAAAACTAGATAAAACAGACTAAATATGGAAACAACTTGCAATTGCTCTTGAGGTTTCATATCGAGCCTAAATAAAACAATCGCCAATAAGTTTTTGGACTTTTTGGTGAGAGGCTAAAGTTGGACTCAGGCCGATCTTAAGGTACCGTGTAACCGACGTTGAAAAGCCTTTGACATTATCTCAATCCATTGAGATGTTACAGCGTTTTGAAGAAAGAATCAAAGCAAAATAGTAATTTGACAATTTTGAGATGTCCACTCTTTTCCATGGTAACAGGAAATTTAAGATTAAGCGTGCTGTTATAGAGGCAATGGTCCAGTCAACACTTGTGTCAAGTTTGATGAATATTAAAGCATCTTTTATAATTTCAAAGCAATTACAGGAGGCTTTAGCTTTTCAATGAAAACAGCCATTTTTCACAAAATTCTCATGCAGTAAGGGGTTACCCATTCTTTAATATAGACGTTTTTCACGTATTTTTATCTCCGCCCCCCCCCCACACCTTATTAAGGTCTCAAATGGTGAAAAAACTATTTAGACCCAAACACTTGTTTTTCGTTTGCGAAATGTTGTTAAATTAGTGATCACTTTTTCGGCGCCGTCTTCTATCAAAAAGATGCATCAGCGGATGTCAGAGGGAGAGCCTCCTTTTGCTTGGGTCTTTGAAGGAGGAGGCAGCCAAAGAATATTTTGGACTTGTGAGAGGCTAAAATTTGCCTCAGGTCGATCTTTAGGTAACGTATAACCAATTCTGAAAAGCCCTTTTGACTCTATCTCAAACAAATGAGAAATTGCAGCACTTTGAAATCATTTTTGATGGAAAAAAAACTATGCAAAATATTGATTTTCGGCAATTTTGAAAAAGTGGTCAACAACATTTCTCAAACAAAACCGAGTGTTAGAGGCCTGAATGAGGCATTTTTTCACCATTTGAGACAAAAAAGGGGTTGAAAAAGGCATTAAAAGACGTGCATATCAGATAATTGGTAACAGAAAATGATGGAAATACCTGAGATTACCTAAATTCGCATTTTTTCTAAGTTTAAACATGGCCTAACATATAATTTTGAAGAAAAAATGTAGTTTTGTAGATTTTTTTTTTAATCCATTACCGCATGAGAATTTTGTGAAAAATGGCTATATTCATTGAAAAGTCTCCCGTAACAAGTTCAATTTGTTATAAAACTTTAAAACAACTGCTTCAATACTAATCAAACTTGGCACAAATGTTGACTGGGCCATTGCTTTTATAACAACATGCTAAGTCTTAAATTTCCTGTAACCATGGCAACGATGGATCATCTCAAAATTACCAAAAATCACTATTTTGCGTTAAGTTTTCCATCGAATTGATTTCAAATTGCTCCAACTTCTCAATGGATTGAGATAGAGTCAAAGGTTTTTTAGCGTTGGTTACAACAAAAAGGGACACATCCCCTTTCTGGCAGCCCCCTGATGTATCTTTTGGATAGGGGGCGGCGCCGAAAAGCGGCAACTTTTTTCAACAACATTTCTCAATCAAAACAAGTGTTGGGGGCCTAATTAAAGGATTTGTTTTAAACGTTTGAGACAACAAAAAGGGGGTGAAAAAGGCGTTTAAAGGCGTGTATATCGGGTAATGGGTTAAAGAATATTTGAAAATTTATGAAACCTTATCTAAACCTTCATTTCATCATTATTCTCATAATCAATGTCTTCGTGGATTTAACTTTGCTTTAACTTTTCTTTTACTTTTTCTTGTTCCTCTAAAATTCTTTCTAGAAGCAATAATCAGTTATCGTAAAAATTGCAATCTTTTATACGTTTTGATAGGTTAACTAAAACTTGTTTTGCGTAATTGTGTAGTACTCTGCTTCTGCGGATTCAGACAACATTATTATATGTATATAAAATATAATAAATTATTTCCTGATGTCGCTAATAGAATGTATGTCTGGGAAGTTTGGTCCGGGATGTAATGAAACCTGTCCTTCGAATTGTAAACGTGATGACTGTGGGTATGTTGATGGCAAATGTAAGGGAGGGTGTATACCGGGCTTTCAAGGAGAGAAATGCAACACAAGTAAGTTGTTTCCGATATAATCTGGTTGTTCAAACTCAGTGATTTCAATACTTGAAGTGTTATTAGTTGAATGTTGCTAAATTGCTTAATTGTGGAATATGGTGTAAGATATGTTGCACTTCCCTTTATCTCATAGTCCTTTGTCTAAATGTAATTTTCTCATAGTATGTTTTTTTATCATTTCATTTTCTAAGGGTATAATTCATCGCAATTCCTTACTTACCATAATGCATTTTTTAATCTATCGTTGCTACCTGATATTTAAGAACCATTGTAGACAGAACATCTGCAATGTACAACAAACAAGACTTATTGTAAACTTACATTTTAAAAGTAAGACGGGGTTGATTTGAAGATTTTAAATTCTGTGTACAAATGTCTAATTATGCCTCAGTCGGAGGGCACTTCTTGACACTTTAGGCTTGGTGGATTTTTGTAATTTTTTAACGCGAATTTCCATAAAATTTGCTTCGAGCCAATCTATCAATCTTTGTCGCAACAGACAAAAATGGTTTATTCAGAATTTCAGACATGGCATTGCTTTATGAATTTATGCATTACAATCTACTTTTTCACAAAAATATTTATCTTATTAAGCAACGAGCACATACAAAGAAAAATTGATACGTGATTCGGATTTTCAACTGTTGTAGAAAACAAATGTCAAAACTGAATTTGTATATAACCTGTGACTGTGCACATCATTTGATGGCGTCTTTAATGTGCAGCATCAACATTTAACATGTGTACTCCTCATTCATGATTTCATGTTATACATAGTTCAGTTTGTATTAACATGATGCAATAATAATGACAGGTATTAGTTTTGCAATTTAAATATATATATAACGGAAGAAATTCGTAGGTTTTATTTAAAATTACAATTAGTTATTTATCTATAGACCTTTTTCACTACGGTATTTCCAAAGTAACGGATGTTGCTTTTGTGCTCTCTCATATATAAAGGCTTGAATAGGCGTGCTTTTAAAATATGTCACCCGGAAAAAAGTAATTTTAGGATGACTTACAGTGGTAAATATGTAAAACGTGAATTGATTTTTACGAATAAAACAGATCATAGGAAAATATGCAGGACGTATTATTCAATGATCAAAAAGCGCATACAAAAGTCCTCTTTTTAAGGTAACATTAGACGACTTTTCGTCAGCTATACTCCCGTATTTATAATATATTACACAATTAGCAATGTACGCTTTCTTTGCGCACTGAAAGGCAAACAAGTGTCAATCTCTTTTTGTCCTAAGCAGATTGTGCATGTACCAGAAAATACCAATATGGTCAATTTTTCATAGCAACGGACCGCGTCGTAAAAGGGTCTCTGTGACTGTATCCAAAGTTCCTCTTACCATTCTAATGTTAAAGAATGAAATATGAAAAAAATTACGACTTGTAAGGGGTTGAAGGCTGGTAATAAGAATGTTTATCAGGAAATCTTTTTACCTTAATAAATTATTAGACAAATGTAACTTAAAACTTTCTTTGTTTTATTATTATGTGGTTTGGCTCTGGCTGACAGTTAATTACAATGTAAAAACTCATTTTACTTACTTATCAAATGCAAGTATCATTATGGCTTATACAAATATAATTTGTAAAACTTCTTGATATTCTCCTTTACAAATTGATAAAATAAGCACGAGAATGCCCACTGAAAATTCTTAATGTCTTTTTAATGCACTAGTGTCCGTGTATAAATATATAACAAATATAATCAATAATTTAGCTGAATGTCATACGTCTTACAGTACTTTTCATGGTATGAACACGACGTAGATTTTTAACACAATTATTCATCAAAGCAATTTACTTCATATGTTGTAGCTCTCATTGCACTATTCACAGACAGTCTCACAAGCATTATATGATTAGACTGCTTTCCGTTGAGGACTTATGAAATTTGTCTGTTTGACATTACAAATTGCAATCTTCAGTGAGCCCATAACGCAGCCAGTCATGCCGTTTTTAATGGTAGTTTAGTCGATCATACACTAAGCTTCCTTTTCCTGGAAAATCAAAACTAAAACGCAGCAAATTGTATAATATACTTTATGTGATCTTGAAAAACAGGGAAGGGATGGGTGGGTGTTAAAGTTTTTGTAAGAGCTCTAAAATAAGTAAGCTGCTTCACCGAAATCCAATGCAAAGGAAATGTTTCCATGTGCTTTCTTGACGACGTAGTAGTTAATGACGTAAATACGGCGTGGTCAGTTAGTATGGCATGTGGTTTGTCTCGTTTTAAAGGAACACGATGGGGTTAAAAGTGTGGTTTGGTGCACCATAAACCGGTAAAACTCCCCAGTAGTATTTATGCTGCCGACTGTTCCAAGGCGGCACCCCTTTGTGTTCCTTAGATGTATGTCTTGTTGTTTCATACTGTTTTGGTGACACTTTCGTTTGTGTTCCTTGTTGTTTTCTCGTCTACGATAAGTATCTTCCCATTTGCCACTAGTTTATTTCTTTAATTTTGCATGTATGCAAATATTGCTGACCATCAGGTGATCAAAGAATAAAATATGAAACGTTTTACGACTTGTAAAGGCTAGAAGGTTTGTAATAAGAATGTTTATTGTTGTTAAGATAATATTTATTTCAATTTCTTTGTTTAAATACTTTTGTTATGATTTTTTTTTCAAAATGATATCTAGAATGTACGATCGGTACCTTTGGCGAAGAATGTAGCAAGAAGTGTAGTGGTAATTGTGTAGGCGGTAATGTGATGTGTAGACATACAGATGGACACTGTCAAAATGGTTGCCAGGCAGGGTGGATTGGAACAAACTGTTTCTCAGGTTTAAAAACTATTCAATTATTGAATCTATCACTTATTACAATTGCCTTGTAATACATGCATGCATGTATAAAATATAACATTATATAAATCTCGAAAAGGGAAGATTTCTCAGAAATATTTTAGTTTACTGATAACAAAAAATGTTACCACATACATACGGGTTGAAATTCAGCATCCAATGTATTATATTGCTGTGGTCGTGAGTGACGTCAGGGATATGTATAAACTAAACGATGAATTCATACGCATATTCTTCAATAAAAACTATCCGTCCGTTTTTGTTAAGATTTTCATAACGCATTTAACAGAAGTTATTTATTGAAAAGAAAATTGCTTAAGGCTCCTATCTCACTCGCCCTGCATGCAATTCAATGCTTTGCACAATATCCTCGGGCGATATTACACATCAATATATAACATTCATGGAGTATTACTTTTAAATTGTAAGTGGATGTTGGTTCTGAATAATAACAGTTTACTTGCACAATGATTTTACGAAAGGCGCATTTAATTTTTCTGTCCTATTTTTATTGTTGTTTTTATTGATTTTAAACATGTTTATGCAGTTTGATAAAATATTGTATCATGTCAAATTGTTACACTTAAAGACACATCATAATTATCATATTTTTCAGAATGTGACATTGGGTTTTACGGTAAGAACTGCTCGTCGGTGTGTGGTAACTGTCATATCGGAAACCGTTGCGACCACGTTACTGGCATTTGTGATGGAGGATGCCAAACAGGTTACAGCGGCGACTCCTGTTTACAAGGTATTTTACTATAAGCTTTATTTTAAAAGCAAGTTTGTGTTTAAATGTCAGGCTCATTAAAAACAATCCCGGCTTCTGTCAATGTAGATTTTATCTTGATGTCATCATCGGTTCATTTGCATTATCGTTTGCTGACTTGCATGATATTATCAACATATTCAATTGTTAGAACTTTATGATTTATTTTGATTTTTTAACGTTTGAATGTTTATAAATTGTGTTTAACTTTCACAGAGTCAAACAGAGTCATGTGTTCTAGAGACTTAATTTGTAATACAATTTACAGGATAGATATGTGTAATCCCTTTATTTTACGCTAAGTGCAGATAACTCGGTAGACATTATATGTTATTTTTGTTTTGGAGTGATATATGTGGATATATTACCTGTCAAGATTTTATATCACCCGAGCCGCCACTCCAAAACCAAAATAATAATTTTATTACACATCCCCTGCCAAGTTAAGACGATTTTAAAACAAATCATTGCTACTTCAAATGAAACGTTGAAATAAGATTCCCTTTAGGGTACCCCTTCATCACAACATGACATCACATAAATACATGACGTATTTTCTTTCGAACCTAACGAATGTAAACAAGAGAAAAGGAGTAGTCTGTTGAAAGCACTTTTTTGGAATTAATATCAAGCATTCACAAGGTCATATTTGTTTTCAATACTAATGAGAATATGTATCATTACTCTATTTTGGTAAATATTTATCATTTGACAGTTAAAAAGTGCTTGTAAATGGGAATTTACATCGCATAAAATCAAACCGTACGCGCATCGCCACAGCGCATGTTGTTAACAACGTGGGGTACCCAACGGGGAAATTAAGTGTGTATATTACCCGTCTGGCTCGGTAATATCAATTCCTTTCGGGTGATCAATATTCAATCAAAAAGGCGGAAAAATCTGGAAGGGTAATAAATCTTTATATTTACAGCAATGCAAACGTCGAATATTTCGAATTCGATTGTGGCAGGGGGAGTAGCGGTTCTTGTGATCTTTATTTTAATTGGAGTAATTGCTTTCGTTTGGTATAAGCAACGCAATCAGAATAAAAGGTATTGTTTTATTATTGTGTTACTAACTTACCGCATGTGTCTAAATTCTGAAGCAGTGTAAATACAGAACACAAACTGCATCATTTTAGTACAAAATAATATTTAGATTTTTTTAGAAGATTATAAAGACAAAACATCTGAAGATATCTTTACTTTTCTTCCATAATATTTCAACACTATTAAAGAAATAAACATGAATTTTAAGCGCTCATTTCTTGTTTATCTTGTTGGATATTAGAACTTTCAAAGTTAAACGAAACTGTAAAAATTTAAGAAATAATAAAATTCAAGTTCACAATATTGAGTATTTACTGTTTTGATATCGCTTTTCATTTTCTTTTAACCATAGAAAAGATGAACAAAGAGGTGACGTGGAGCTCACGGACGCTGTTGCGACTGCTAGCAATGAAAATAGAAGGCCATCTCATGGTGTAAATACGCAATCAAATACAGGTATGGCGTAATTCAGAGGTAGATCTCTCTATTGTTTTTTAAATTACAAAGGGTTTGAGTATAGAATGCTTTTACGAATGATATCTTAAAAGGTTCACTTAAATTGGTTATAATTAAGTGCTCTCAATAGTAATTTATCAATTAACAGAAAAAAAAGTTCACTGGTCAAACATACCAAAACTAAAGATTTATAAAATGTGCAATCGCTTGTTTACAAATCTTCATGGTCATACCTTTTATAGTATTTGATAAATAAAAGGTCATATAGATTATATTGATGTTTTTGTTATTTTTATGTACCTTGGTAACATTTATATAATTGATCGATCATACACGACATTTCAGTGTTATTTCAATTACATTCTCCGTTTTTAGGCAATTTTTATTTAGGTTTATATTTTTCTCCACCTGACGTAAATCTCTACGTACATCTAAAAGTGTCATGTGAAATGCTCTGTGTCATCTGTACACTTTGTTGTATTATGTTCTAGTCATTTGGTATCATTGATTTTAGCACATAAATTGAATATTACTTAACAAGTGCTATGTTTTTTTTTAATTCAGTAATAGACTTATTCAAGACAAATTTTGCAAATTTCAATTTTCTTTATTGCTCCCTACTTAAAGGAGATGTCTTCTCATTATTAGCGATATTTTGATATGATATATTTGATATATTGTTTAATATGATTTAATACAAGTCATTTGGGATTCATCTTGTCAGAGATAGACATGTGCTCACCTATATATGCTTAAACCACGCGTCTGTTATTGGTTTTATAGTGCTGAAACAATTTAATTTTGATGTGATATATGATGTCCTATATTATTAAAGAATTTTTCAATTCTGTTCAACTCCCAGACAGAAGAATTTGTAGCTTTTACCTTGTATCATGAATAGACTTAAAGTTTCTAAATTTGCTACTGCTTTATATTGACGGGTAATTATACTTATGTCATTTACGATAATGCATATAAATGCCATTTACCATAATGAAAATGAATGACATTTAAGATAATGTAAATAAATGTCATTTAAGATCATGTAAATGTGCACGTACATGAATCAGGGTTGAGATTTTGAAATTGTAGAACATTCAAGGTTTATCTACATGGTTTTGTTTGCAGCAGATGACAGTGGAAGTGCGGCGGCAGCGGATGCAAACATTTACAACAACTTCCCGATGCAAAGTATCACCAGGAATGCCATACAACTGTCAAACCTTCTACCATATGTCAAAGAGAATCTGACCAATCCTGACCACTTTGCAACTGAATTTCAGGTTATTTGATGTTCCTTGTGGTAACGTTTTTGAATTATTTATGTGTTTAGGAAAGATATTGGAGATCTAGATAATTAAATATTCTTATTGATTAAATGTTAAAGTGAATTGGTCCGTATATTCACAAATAACTGTGCTGATATAATTCATTACGTTATGTGATAACAAACCAAGAAAAATTTAAATGATAATGTTTGGTGTTGGTAAGTGTGAGGTACGTGATCTTTTACGACACATCCTTTTATAGCAGATAATAAATTGTTCTAGCACAAAATATTATTATTCATCAGATAATTGTCCAAATACAAAACCTGTATCAAAATTTTGTTCAAGAGAGTGTTTCTATCAGAATATCCAAATGATAAATTTCTATTGTTTCATCAATTTTCGATATACTTTTGGAAAATGTGCCCATTGCAGACCCATTCACTTGAAACTGTATAGTTTGAAAACAATAAGAAAAAGAATTTAAATAGACAATTGAAAAAAAAGAAATAGTTTTTAATTGCGTAACTTATATACATATATACACACATTATGTGCAGAAGAAGAAATTTAACGTTGACAAACCTGAAAGTTCAGATTTTATTTCAATTTATTTAATTGATTGGGCGTTTTAAGATAAATCTTATTGCTTCCAATTGCTTTTGTTTTGTTTTCTAGGGTATTTTTTATTGTTTTATTTTTGGGGGTATTTTTTGCCATAGTTTTTATCTTGGTTTTGTTTCAGGATATACCGTATGGAATGAAAAAGTCGTCTGCTGTTGCCAAGAAATCGTTTAACCGCGGAAAGAACAGATACAAGGATATGCATGCATGTATGAAATTATTTTTGCAGTTATTTACATTATAATAGTATTATCTTATTTCTTTTCAAACCTGAGGAAGAACGGGAATGTAAAAGATTAATTCAAACCTCTTTAAATCAAGACTAAACTTTATTTAAAGTTGCATTCAGGAAAAAGTAAAACGATTGACGATTCAAGTCTTAATGTACATGTTTTCTGCAATCAAAGAGTTATTTTGCAGTACCTATCAAAAATATTTTTACTGTTTGACTAACGCATTAAGGGCGAATTTGCATATTTTGACCTCTTTTTGGTAATTTACGTAGATTATAAGTGCCGTTTGCAATGTGTACAATACTTTCTTTGTTCACTAAACAATCGTTACTTCTAAATATATTTCCAAATTTGTCATAAAATTACCAATAACCTTGAGGCATGCTGCTTTATTTGATTAAGACGATGCTATTCAGAACGCTAACAGAAGGCTGACTTTTCTTCTAAGATGTCGTGCCTGAAATAATGAACGTGGGGTTTTAATCCACCAGTAAGATTGCAAATCGCCATATGACTGACAATCTTTATGGGACTGACAACTTAACAAAATGTCAATTCAAAACAGAACAGGTTCATTAAAAGTTTTGTTTAGGACAAGATAACGACTTCAAAAGTAAAGAAAATTATAAAGAAAATAGCTTAAACAATGTGAATTATTTCAGCAGATGTTACAGTTATTACTATGATAGCAATTTTAACTTTATAATTAAGCCTCTCTAACACTAACTGAATACCGTCATGAAACAGCGTCTTACAAATTCAGTATTTAATGATAACAGCATTATCGTCTGAAACATATTTTCCTACCAATACATTTTATAAGCATATTGAAAATAAAACTATGCATGTATTCAATGGCATTTTGTTCAATAAAGGTAGCTTTATGTCAATTTAATACAATACTTACATATTTTGAATTATCAGATGATGAAACACGTGTTAAGCTGAAAAAACTGCCAAACATACAGGGATCAGATTATATCAATGCGAGTTTCATCAAGGTAAGACCATTTAACATACTTGTATCAATTTTATAAAATGTTTGACAAGGTTGTTCGTTACCGTTAATTATCACATAAATCCTTAAATATCCTGCAGATGTTTCTAAATTCAAAATTTCACCATTTTCATGTTAAATATTGAATTCTGCTTAAGCCGGTGCTAATGGACGTGGACGTTAGTTTGTACTTGAGAGTACCGTTCATGAACAGGCTCAATCAAGCCGAGTCTAGAGAATTTTCAATTTTGCCGCTTTTGACTTTATTAAGGGAATCCTGTTAACTCTATTTTGCTAAACGAAAAGCGACTAAGGCATATTGCATTTTATAAGTGAAAATAGCCTTTTATTCTAATGTGATGACATCAAACATAAAAGTATGTTTAGTTTAAGAAATATCTTTATACATGTATATTATTATGTGCAACATTATTCTTAATAAACCAGGACATTTGTTTGTTGAACAGGGACATCACAAAGAATATGCCTACATAGCGGCACAAGGTAATCAATAACGTTGAAATATTTAAAAAATATGTTAATTAATATCTGAGAAGTATAAGGATACTTCTTTTGCTTTTTATCTCAAAATCCATTAAGCCCCCGAAATGATACTATCATTTTTATATCTCGAACATCTTGTATTTATGGTTTCCAAAAAGTTTCATATCGGTTCTTAAGAAAATTTGTCTTTTGCTTATTTTATTTTTTGGCTATTGGTAAAATCATTGCTAATTAGTATTTTGTATTAAAGTCAAAGTACTACTTTGTTTATATTTTGCTATATTTATGGCACTGCTGCATATGAACGCTACTCTTTTTTAACATTTAAGATGCTCTAAATCCATTTTTTCAACATTATTTATCGCAAGTTTGAATTTACTAAAGGATCAAAGTTTTATTGATTTCTGAGGTATAATGCATGTGTCTTTTATTTGAGAAACAGTGGAGGGTACTTTGCAGATATTTCTATGTCACTAACCAAAACATTTTGTTTCCTTTATATTGAAGTTTTCTAAAAAGTGATTGTCATAATTGATTTGAAAATAACCTACTTGGTAATGAAGTTATGGCAAAAAATATACATATTTATAGATTATTCCTTGAAACCTTAAATACAGATCCCACTATATTTAAAAAAAGGGGG